GTGTCCTCTCAAACAAACTGTCAAACCATCAAATAGCTGGTGTCATAACTGATCACATGTGCAGCTTTAGAGCAATTGCAGATCAAACAGAGGCTAAGATGGCAGCTTTCTTGGCTGAAAAGGATAGGAGGCTTTAGTTCCTCTTTAATACACATGCAAAAACACTTGCACAATGCTCGTAAAATGCCCAAAAAAGCTTCAAAATCACTAGGTTACATTCTGCTCAGGTGTGAATACAGGCCTAAAGTGGTTGTAAAGGTTCTTTTTTTAAAATAAAAAATAAACATGTTATACTTACCTGCTCAGTGCAATGGTTCTGCACAGAGCAGCCCTATCCAACTCTTCTCAGATCTCCCGCCAGCACTCAAGGCCCCTCCTCCCTGCTCTGTCCCCCCAAGCAAGCTGCTTACTCTGGGGGCACTCGGGCATGCATGCTCTATGAGTCACACAGAGCGAGACTTGGCTCTACCCTGTCTCTCCTCACTGACAGTGATTGACAGCAGCAGGAGTCAATCGCTCCTGCTTCTGCGTCTTAGCCAATGAGGAGGCAGAGGCAGAGACCTAGAGAAAAGCTTCTCTCGTACACATCTCAGGTGAGTATAAAGGAGGGGGGGGGGTTGACGGGGGAGCTGCACACTGAAGGTTTTTTACCTTCAGTGAACCACTTTAATGTTGCGCATTGAGTCTTAAAAATGTTCCCTCCTCCCTCTTCCTACCTATGCTGCCTAAAAAGATCTGGTCCAGTCACATGATCCCTTGTGTTAGTGGCAGTGACTGCAGGGGAGAAGAGGGAGTGCTTGACAATGGGTAGGAATTTCAGGAGCCATACCATCACTTGTAGGCTCCCATGTCCCAGCCCTTGACTGTGCTTCCTTCTCTCCACTGTAGCAGCTGCTGATTGACACAGGAGAGCTGAATCATGTGACTGGACAGGAGTTGGCTGAAAATAGGTATCTGCATCTTTCTTGCAAAGGTTCTAAAAGAGAAGAATGGGGTTTGAAAAAAAAAAAACTTCGTGATTCACCTAGGTGGATGAAGCATCGATCCACCTTACAGTGAGCAGCCAGCCACTGGAAGGCTCTACCCCTCCAGTACTCACTGGAGTGCAAGGTTGTGGAGAGGGTGGGAGCGGCTGGCTCAGGCTCACAGCTGCTGGTCTAGGCTTCTGAGTGGATCCCATTAAAGCCAGGATCTCTCCAATGTATGGACTAGATCTGTGATGTCAGACAACAGCGGACTTTAGCCCACTGTTGGCTGAATCTGGGTCATACGAGTGCAGAATGAAGTGCACTCAAATGACCTACAGGAGAAGTAGAGCCAAAAGAGCTTTGGCCCTACTTCTCCTTTAAACATAGTTAGCGTTATCCTGGAATTCTACTTCTCCCCCATTTACCTTTGGTGTTTTTCTTATGCTGCAACAATATACAGTAAGTCCCCTACTTATGAACAAGTTCCATTCCAGGAGCTTGTTCGTAAGCCAACAAAGATCAGCACTTTCAAACAATGGCTGCAAGTGCAGCTAATGTGTTCTGGTGGGGGAGGGGGGTTACCCCTGTCAGAACACAAAGGCACAGCGGAGGAGATTGCCCCACCAACATTGCTTGTGTTGGTATGGTGATCTGTCAATTTCTTCCTTCAGCTTGCTGGGTTGAATGAATAAAAAACAAAAAGGCATGGATGTGTGTACCCAGCTTTACATGATTGGACATGTGAACATACAGTCAGGTCCATAAATATTGGGACATCGACACAATTCTAACATTTTTGGCTCTATAAACCACCACAATAGATTTGAAATGAAACAAACAAGAAGTGCTTTAACTGCAGACTGTCAGCTTTAATTTGAGGGTATTTACATCAAAATCAGGTGAACGGTGTAGGAATTACAACAGTTTGCATATGTGCCTCCCACTTGTTAAGGGACCAAAAGTAATGGGACAGAATGATAATCATAAATCAAACTTTCACTTTTTAATACTTGGTTGCAAATCCTTTGCAGTCAATTACAGCCTGAAGTCTGGAACGAATAGACATCACCAGACGCTGGGTTTCATCCCTGGTGATGCTCTGCCAGGCCTCTACTGCAACTGTCTTCAGTTCCTGCTTGTTCTTGGGGCATTTTCCCTTCGGTTTTGTCTTCAGCAAGTGAAATGCATGCTCAATCGGATTCAGGTCAGGTGATTGACTTGGCCATTGCATAACATTCCACTTCTTTCCCTTAAAAAACTCTATGGTTGCTTTTGCAGTATGCTTTGGGTCATTGTCCATCTGCACTGTGAAGCGGCGTCCAATGAGTTCTGAAGCATTTGACTGATTATGAGCAGATAATATTGCCTGAAACACTTCAGAATTCATCCTGCTGCTTTTTTCAGCAGTCACATCATCAATAAATATACAGCCATACATGCCCGCACCATGACACTACCACCACCATGCTTCATTGATGAGGTGGTATGCTTAGGATCATGAGCAGTTCCTTTCCATCTCCATACTCTTCTCTTCCCATCACTCTGGTACAAGTTGATCGTGGTCTCATCTGTCCATAGGATGTTGTTCCAGAACTGTGAAGGCTTTTTTAGATATTGTTTGGCAAACTCTAATCTGGCCTACCTGTTTTTGAGGCTCACCAATGGTTTACATCTTGTGGTGAGCCCTCTGTATTCACTCTGGTGAAGTCTTCTCTTGATTGTGGACTTTGACACACATACACCTACCTCCTGGAGAGTGTTCTTGATCTGGCCAACTGTTGTGAAGGGTGTTTTCTTCACCAGGGAAAGAATTCTTCGGTCACCCACCACAGTGTTTTTCCGTGGTCTTCCGGGTCTTTTGGTGTTGCAGAGCTCACCAGTGCGTTCTTTCTTTTTAAGAATGTTCCAAACAGTTTTTTTGGCCACGCCTAATGTTTTTGCTATCTCTCTGATGGGTTTGTTTTGTTTTTTCAGCCTAATGATGGCTTGCTTCACTGATAGTGACAGCTCTTTGGATCTCATCTTGAGAGTTGACAGCAACAGATTCCAAATGCAAATAGCACACTTGAAATGAACTCTGGACCTTGTATCGGCTCATTGTAATTGGGATAATGAGGGAATAACACACACCTGGCCATGGAACAGCTGAGAAGTCAATTGTCCCATTACTTTTGGTCCCTTAACAAGTGGGAGGCACATATGCAAACTGTTGTAATTCCTACACCGTTCACCTGATCCCCTCAAATTAAAGCTGAGAGTCTGCAGTTAAAGCACATCTTGTTTGTTTCATTTCAAATCCATTGTGGTGGTGTATAGAGCCAAAAATGTTAGAATTGTATCGATGTCCCAATATTTATGGACCTGACTGTATTTGCATCTTTGAAATGCCACAAGTTGAATGATTGTATGTAGGGGGCTTACTGCACTTACAAGCGCAAAAGATCCAGCATTGCCTTCTTCCCACCCCCCGATCCCATCTTGCGCCACCATCTTCATTGTTAATGTCACAGGGAGCTGGCTGTCTTACCCTGGCTCCTGTAGCCTGTCCCCCAATGACACATCATGAGATCTGTATCTGTGTACATGAATGGTAATGCTTGCCAGGATATCTAATGTCAGTATTCCAGGAGGCAGCAAATAGAAAACAGCTTTGTTGCCTAGGAGGGGATGGCAGCAAGGGGTGCAGCCAGATGAAGAATTTTTTTTTTCTGTAATTCTATAAAGGTCAGCTTTAAAAAAAAAAAAGCATGGGAGGGAGGTAGATTGCAGCAAATTTTATACATCACACTAGATAACAAGTGTCAGCTGAGGAGGGAAGTAGGCTTTGGCTCCAAATAAGTGACAGTTAGGCCCCTTTCAAACGGGCGTTTCATATGTCAGTTTTTCATCTGTCCATTTACAAATGAAAAACGGACACCCATGTATTTATATGGACTAGCGGATGTAAATGGATGATCATGTTTACATCCATTAATGTCTGCATCCGTTAACATCCGTTTTTTTTTTTTTTTTGAATGGAAGAAAACCCTATTTTTCTTCCTTAAAAAAAAATGGAACGGATGAAAAAAATGGATGTAAACTGATGTAAAACAGTTGTAAATGGACCAAAAATGAATATAAACTGTTCTAAATGGACAAAGAACTGATGTAAACTGATCTAAACGGACAAAAACCGGATGTAAACAGACGGAAAACAGACATAAACTGACGACAAACTGATGTGAACTGATCTGTTTTTTCTTAGAAAAAAACGTGGCTGAACTGATGAAAAAAAATGGAACACTCGTGTGAAAGGGGCCTTAGGAGGTCTGGTGAAGTACTGAATGTCCAGCACTGGGCCAGGAGACCCAAGACACACAGAAAGATAATAAGACAAAAAAAGAGAAAAACAGCACAGGAGAGCAATGCTGGAAATATGTCATGAGAACATGCTATGTGTAGTGTTGTCACCTCATCCCTGTAAAACACATACTGATGACACAGGTTCTGAGGCTGATGAAGGTGGTAATTAAAGTCAGTACCTTATCTGTATTACATTAGCCTCAGAACCTGTGTTCGTTTTAAAGGGATGAGGTGGTAACCCTAGCTATGTGGAGTCCAGACAGCACCTTTCTGGGCACAGCACCAACTACTAGGAAACAAAAGGCCGTCCATTAACCACAGCATAGACCCCAGACGCAGCTACACAGGCGACTTACTGCAGGAAAGGCTCCGTTGTCATGTCTGCCAGATCAAACTTCCAGTAGTAGGCCCCGTTACCTAGGCGACAGCAGCCATATTCGATCGATTGTAGGGGGGGTTGAGGATATATAAAACTTTATTAACAAGAACAGAGAACACAATACACTAACACCGGGATTCCCATTCCACCGGAAACTTGTTGAAGGCAAAAGTGTCCATTAACATAGCTCCGCGAAATTCTACAACACAGGAAACACCTTCTGTTTCCTCTCAATTATACTTTTATAAAGTCCGTGTCGAAGCGGAAGGGAGCCTTCAGAAACCGGAAGCGCTCTACAGAATAACTTTATTGTGCACTTACATTCACCCTACAATGCACTAGGAAGTGTGTGGGTTTTTTTTTTTTAAACAACAGGATGAACTTTATGAAACACCATTTTGCGGACAAATCCTGACAGTCCTCTCGGCAGTTGTGGTCAGTGAATTGTTCTTCGCCTTTGCTTTCCTCGGTGTTCGGGATCCCTATCGGTGGAGGATGCCCAGCAAGAAGAAGAAGTACAATGCGCGTTTCCCGCCGGTGGGTTTGAGGCCTGTAATGAGACTGGAGGCCGTCTTCCTTTCCTCTGGTTTGCTGGTACCGCTATGCCGGAAATCCTGTGCTCAGGCTCCCGGTGCAGTGTTGTTTGGCTGGTTCGTGTGTTGTGTCTGTGAGCCGAGTGCTCTCCCCTTGTGTATTGTATGGGGTAATTCTCCGCCTGCCCCCTTCAGCTGGGTCATGGCTTGTAGATGCCCCCTCCCCTTCATCCTACCTTCCCATGCTCCCAGTCTATGTGTGTTCTGCTGTTTTTCCATTTTCAGGGACACCTTGTTGTTGCAGTGACGTATCTGGCTGTTGTATATGATCCTCTTTCCTAACATCAAGGGGCAATACAGGGGAGGACTGGGGGGGGCGGCAACCCCCATAGGTCAGTGCAGATAATATACGCTGATCAGCCATAACTCTATGACCATCCACCTAATATTGATTGGATCCCCCTTTTGCCCCCCAAAACAGCCCTCTAGACCTTTGAAGGGATGATGCGGTAGCTGACACCAAGCTGTCCGTAGCAGATCCTTTAAAGGAGAAGTATGGCCACAGCTCTTTTTCGCCCTACTTCTGGAAATCACGTGTGCACAGGAGCCTGCTGTCTGCTTGTGCCACTCAGCTGGTACAGACTCTGGAGGGATCCCGACTTTAATGTTGGGATCCACACAAATGCCTGATCGGCAGTTGGTCAGCCTCTCAGCAAGGCTGTCGCTCCCATCTCATCCACAGTCCAGCATGCCAATGAGCCCTGGAGGGGCACAGCAGAGAGCGGTGACTGACAGTCGCTGGCTTTCTTCTCAGTGCAGACCAACAATTGAGCAATCAGCGGTATTTGATCACTCGTTACTCAGTGCAGAGGCAGCCGGGGACAGATGCAGCACCGGACTAATGCTGCATCTACTTAGTTGAGTATGTTTGTTTTTTGTTTTTTTTGGAAATCTCACACTTCTCTCTTAGGACCCATTGCTACTAGGGACTGCATGTGAATCACACTGGAATGCTGTGCAGTTCACATGCAGTGCAGTGCTGTGCAATTTCAAACCATGCATTTTGAATGGGCTGAAATAGCACCAGAAGTAGTGCATGCAGTACTTTTGGAAACGCACTACAACCAGATCACATGGTACTTTAATACCATGCTGTCCAATGTGGGCAAGCGCACTGCTTTTGGGGTGATGTTAACTTTGCTTTGACACCCACTGTAGATCCAACGGCAGTGTGATTGGAAACCAGCACGGAGCACTGCGTTCTAGTGTAAATGGATCCTAAAAATGGAAACTGAACCCCACAAGTTTATCAGTTTAAAAAAAATAGTTACATTCCTGGGATGCGGTGAATAATAAATGTCACATTTGCCTGTGCAGTCAACTGCCAAACCATCAAGTGGCTGAAGACATAACTGTTCACATGTGTAGGACCATGACCGTTGCAGATCAAACAGAAGCTAAGATGGCAGCTTCTTTGGCTCTAAATGATAGAATGATTTAGTTCCACTTGAATTGTGAGGTGTGGCCCCCGTGGATTGGACTTGTTTTTCCAGCTCATCCCACAGACACTCGAATGGACGAAGATCTGAAGAGTTTGGAGGTCAAGTCAGCAACTCATAATTGTGTTCCTCAAGTCATTCTTGAACCATTTTTTAAGTGTGGCAGGCTGCATTATTCTGCTGAAAATGGCCACTGCCATCAGGGAATGCCATTTTAATGAAGGGGTGTACTAGGTCAGCAAAAATATTTAGGTAGGTGGTACTTGTCAAAGTAACATCCATATCAGTGACATGACCCAAGATTTCCCATCACCCAAAGGCTCACACTGCCTCTGCCAGCTTGCTTTCTTCCCTTACTCCTTACTGCATCCTGGTGCCATCTCTTCCCCAGGTAAGAGATGCACATGCACCCGGCCATCCACACAATGTAAAAGAAAATGTGCTTCATCAGACCAGGCTACCTTCTTCCATTGCTCCATGGTCCAGGTCTGATGCTCATTAGCCCGTTGTAGGTACTTTTGGCTATGGACACGTGTCAGCATAAGCATCCTGACCAGTTTGTGGCTACTCAAACCCCATACACAACAAACTGTGATGCCCATTTTTCTGCTTTCAATACATCAGCACTAGGGACAATATGTTTACTTGCTGCTTAACCACTTGCCCTCCAGAGGATTTACCACCCCCTTCCTGACCAGGCCATTTTTTTACATTACAGAGCTGCGTTATTTTAACTAACAATTGCGTGGTCATGTAATGCTGCACCCAAATTACATTTGTCATTTTTTTTCCCCACAAATAGAGCTTTTTTCGGTGGTATTTTGATCACCTGTGCATTTTTTTTTTTTTTTTTTTTTGCGCTATAGACAAAAAAGCCCGACAATTTTGAGAAAAAACTACTATTTTTCACTTTTTGCTATTAAATATGTCCAATTAAAAAATCAAATTGCATCATACATTTTGCGTGAAATGTATTCTGCTACATGTCTTTGCTAAAAAAAAAAACCCTAATACGTGTAAATTAATTGGTTTAAGTGCAAGTTATAGCGTTTCCAAATGTCGGTATAAATACTGGAATTTTTTTTACTAGTAATGGCAGTAATCAGTGACTTATTGATGGACTGTGGCAGGCATTTTGACACTGGGGGGAACTGACGTTGTTTCACTGACATCCCCAGTGACACCAATACAGTGATCAGTGCTAATAAAAAGCACTGACACTGTTTTAATGGCACTGGGCAGGAAGGGGTTAACATGTGGGGCGATCAAAGGGTTAATCGTGTGCTGTTTCACATTATGTACTGTGTGTGCTTTCAGCTGTAAGCACACTGCTATGCATAGCCATACAAAAGCAGTGTGCTGGTGGTGATAAAAGAGAACTGTATTGTTTACATACAGTTCTCTCCCCCGTCGGTAATACTTGGCAATCGCCGGGTGCCGGTGAGTGATCACTGGCCGGGACTTGGCGAATGGCGGCGCGCGGGTAGGGCTCGCGCACCCCCTACCCGCAACTGCAAAATCACGTATGTATACACCCGAGCCGACCTGTACCAGTATTTCTGCTATAGGGCGGATGGGAAGCGGTTAATATACCCCACTGATTTTCAGATGCTGTTGTAACAAAATAATCAATGTTATTCACTTTACCTGTCAGTGGTCATAACATTATGGTTGATCAGTGTATGTTGGGTAGATGGCTTTGATTGATAATACTCCCTCATTCAAAGCTGCCACAGCTGCTGACTCATTGTGTATCCATGTGCTCCATGTTTAGTCCCTTCTCTTTCTGTATGGGGATGATGGCACTGTCATTTATTTTAATTTTTTTAATAAGTCTTCTGCTGCTAGTCATATGTTCATCATAATAAAAACATTTTTTAAAAAATGCGCTTTTGGGATACAGAGTAAAAATATAGAATTAATATCCATAAACTGTTTGAAATCATCATACAAATATATATCTGAAATCTATTTTTTTATTTTTTTTACAATACATGGTGTGGGCAGATTTTTGCCAATCACAGGCTGTGTCATGCCCCTCTAGCTGGTTAGTGGGCATGAAGGAGGAGGGAGGGAGGGAGTGCTGTCATTCACCACTGTGTATACACCCACATGTGTGACTCTAGTCACATGGGCTGCTCAGATGTATTAGGGAGGAAATGCTCAGGGCAGAAATACACTGAAAACTGAGCATGTGCAGTTGCTGCCAACACTGCTCTGCAAAATCCCCAAATTCAGTTGAGACATGGACAGGAGGGGGAGACAGCAGGATCAACCAGGTTTTTTGCAGAACACAGAAAATGAATTTCATAATTGAGTGAGTATGAACAGCCTGTAATACAGCATTTATTAATAGTTTTTTCTTATGCAGGTTTAATACTGGAATAACTATTTTTTTTGTGGTCGCCTGTTGTGTTCTGATCACTTCTGTGCTGGTGTGGCATTCATTTCCGTGGGCTGTCTTACACACAATAATCGCACAAGAGAAGTGCAAGCACTTTTTTTCAAATAAATCGCACCACATCATGTCACTTTGTTACCATGTGTTTTCCCATACTTTATCGAGGTGCGTCAGTGTGCTATTAACAATTAAGGGCACTGTAATATGTCTGCATAAAAAAGGATGCATGATTTTGCTTGTGTTCCTGCATCGCACAGGTATGAACAGAGCCTTAACTAAAACTGAATGAGGATCAGGGATGAGCTCAGGCATGTTCGGATCCCAGTCTACACCCACCTGAGAGATCTCATCAGGAAGCTGTCACTGTACCCCCTCGATCATGAGTGTCCGAGGCAGACCCCGCAGCTGCACATATATACGCAGCTTGTATGGGTGTGCCAGGGGGCATGGCTGCTTATGATTGGAAGGACACAATGACCGCTACCTGGCAGGATAGCTGAGCTGAGTTCAGACAAGGATCCCAACACACCTGGCCTCATCCCTAATGAGGATTATTGGTAATGGCGGCTTGATGTTTTATTTTGGTGAGTCCATACAATTTTCACAGGCCTGCAGTCATCTAATTCATCTCATAAAGTACTTATTTACAGTTCATCACTTCCAATCCCTTGTAGCAAATGTGTGTGTGAAAAGGTTATGCTATAATAAATCATGTCCTTAAAGGGTAACTCCATTTTCACGGGAAAAATTAGCAAATAAATATATAGCATATGCAATTGTTTCACAAGCTATATTGTAGTTTTAATGTTATTAAAAAGCAGCTTCCTTTTCAGTTAGCAGCACTGTAATTTTCTGTAAAATGGAATGCAATATGGCAACCTGGAGGTGTCCATACATCATTAGTGTAGACTACTTCCCCATAAATGTAATTTCCTAGTTGTGATATTGAATCCCTGATTTTCTTAGAAGTCTGCACTGAAATACAAAGTCAGAATTTAGGCATCCTCTGCAGCAAAAATGTATTTTGTGGTGAGATACTCACAAAGGGTTTATCACTTCTAATGGAATGCAGGCGTTGCATTTTCCTCATTAGAACACTGCAAGTGCATCAGCTGAACAATGGAAACTTCACTCCCATTTAGATTGAATCTGCACAAAACAAGTAGCTACAGTGCCTTGAAAAGTATTCATACCCCTTGAAATTTTCCACATTTTGTCATATTACAACCAAAAACGTAAATGTATTTTATTGGGATTTTATATGATAGACCAACACAAAGTGGCACATAATTATGAAGTGGAAGGAAAATAATAAATGGTTTTCAAAATTGTTTTACAAAAAATATCTGAAAAGTGTGGTGTGCATTTGTATTCAGCCCCCTTAACTCTGATACCCCTAACTAAAATCTAGTGGAACCAATAGCCTTCAGAAGTCACCTAATTAGTAAATGGAGGCAACCTGTGTGTAATTTATTCTCAGTATAAATACAGCTGTTCTGTGAAGCCCTCAGAGGTTTGTTAGAGAACATTAGTGAACAAACCGCATCATGAAGGCCAAGGAACACACCAGACGGGTCAGGGATAAAGTTGTGAAGACTTTTAAAGCAGGGTTAGGTTATAAAAAAAATATCCAAAGCTTTGAACCTCAACATGGAGCACTGTTGAATCCATCATCTGAAAATAAGAAAGAGTATGGCACAACTGCAAACCTACTGAGACATGGCCGTCCACCTAAATTGACAGGCTGGGCAAGGAGAGCATTAATCAGAGAAGCAGCCAAGAGGCCCATGGTGACTCTGAAGGAGCTGCAGAGATTCATGGCTGAGATAGGAGCATATGTCCACAGGATAACTATTAGTCCTGCACTCCACAAATCTGGCCTTTATGGAAGAGTGGCAAGAAGAAAGCCATTGCTGAAAGAAAGCCATAAGAAGTCCTGTTTGCTGTGTTCCCCACATGGCTTCTCTCAAACTGCAGACATGTAGAAGAAGGTGCTGTTGCCAAATAAGACTAAAATTTAACTTTTTGGCCTCAAAGCAAAACGCTATGTGTGGCGGAAAACTAACATCACCCTGAATACACCATCCCCACCGTGAAACATGGCAATGGAAGCATCATGTCGTGGGGATGCTTTTCTTCAGCAGTGATAGGAAAGCTGATCAGAATTGACAAAGAAAATAGATGGAGCCAAATGCATGGCAGTCTTAGAAGAAAACCTGTGAAGAGTCTGCAAAAGACTTGAGACTGGGGCAGAGGTTCACCTTCCAGCAGGACAATGACCCGAAACATACAGCCAGAGCTACAATGGAATGGTTTAGATTAAAGCATATTCATGTGTTAGAATGGTCCAGTCAAAGTCCATGACTAAATCAAATTGAGAATCTATGGCAAGACTTAAAAATTGCTGTTCACAGATGCTCTCCATCCAATCTAGCAGAGCTTGAGCTATTTTGCAAAGAAGAATGGGCACAAATTTCACTTTAGATGTGCAAAGCTGGTAGAGACATACTCAAAAAGACTTGCAGCTGTAATTGCAGCGAAAGGTGATTCTACAAAGTATTGACTCGGGGGGCTGAATACAAATGCACACCACACTTTTCAGATATTTATTTGTAAAAAGTTCTGAAACCATTTTATCGTTTTCCCTCCACTTTAGAATTATGTGCCATTTTTTGTTTTGGTCTATCACATAAAATCCCAATAAAATACTTTTACGTTATTGATTATAACATGACAAAATGTGGAAAATTTCAAGGGGTATGAATACTTTTTCAAGGCACTGTATGTCTTAAGAGCAGAAACAGGTAGGAATCTTCAACAAACTTTAAGATCCTTGCAATGTATGTAGATCACCCAGAAGGGTCTTTTCTCCCAGCATAAGTGGAGTTACTCTTTAAGCGAAGCTGAATAACAAGGATCAGGGATGAGCACAGGCATGTTCGGATCCTAGTCTGAACCCTCCTGAGCTATCCTGCTAGGAAGCAGTTACTGTGCCCCTCATCAATCATAAGCGGCTGAGGCTTGCCTCGCAGCCGCACATATACACGCAGCTTGTGCATGTGGCTGCGAGGTGGTGAATACCTCAGGAGATTATGATTGGCAGAGTGCAGTGACAGCTTCCTGGCAGGATAGTTCTTGCGGGTTTAGACTTGGATTGGAACAAGCCTGAGCTCATCCTTAATGGGGATTATTTGTGATGGCAGCATGATGTTTTTTTTGGTAAGTCCATATGATTTTCACAGACCGTATTTACAATTCATCACTTGCAATCCCCTAGTTTTTAGAAAATGTATGTGAAAATGTATGTTATAACAAATTATGGCTTTAAAGTGTTTGTAAACTTCTGACATATATAAAAGCATGTCCTTCTATAGTGTGCACTAGTCTCAATGTAAAGCACTGAGTGTCATTTCTGTCTTCTGTCTAGTATCCTCCTATTTGCAAATAAAAGCAAATTTTACTGCTGAAAGGTTTTTCCAATGCCTACAGATAGAGGGGAGGGGAGCTCAGCACATAGCCTGTGATTGATAGCCTCAGCTGTGCATTTTTTCTCTCAACTCAGCTCTCCTCTCTGAGCGTGCAATGACAGATCCCTGCCTTCTGAAGTTCAGACAAGCTTTGTAAAGTCTGTATTTTGCACTGATGTAGAAAAGAAAGGGCTGCAAATAAACAGTTCCACCTATGTAGCAGGATTTGATTCATTGCTGTGTAACACCTGAGGCCAGTCACTTAACTGGGCATATAGTATGTATAGGGTTTACAGCCACTTTAAAGTGGTTATAAGTCTAAACATTTTTTTTTTTTTACATTAAAGGAGGAGTAAAACCAAAGCTTGTTTGTACTTCTGTGTATCACTGGAGTGCAATTCGTTCTGCACTTCTGTAACCCGTTTTCAGCCATCAGCGGGCTAAAGTCTGCTGCCAGCTGAAGTCATTCATCCGGTCCAGGCTGAGGAAAGATCCCAACAAGATCCACCCAGGAGCATGGACTGGCACATAGCTTAGCCTCTCGGCGATTCGCTGAGAGCCTGAGCTTGCCGCTCCTGCCCCCTCCACAGCCCAGCTCTCCAGTGAGCGCTGGGGGGGTGGGAAGGGGCGCAGCAGCAGACAGCAGTGACTGACAATCACTGCTCTCTGCTTAGAGAGGCAGGGAGAACTGAGCGATCAGCAGTGTCTGATCGCTCAGCTCTCACCCTTAGAGCTGGTGGGGGACAGACACAGCATTGGATCAGTGCTGCATCCAAGTAAGTATAATTAAAAAAAAAAAAAAAAAAAAAATTCCAAAACTTTTTTTTTAATGCATTCCCTGTTTTTTTTTTTTTTTTTTTTTTTTTTTTTTTTTGTTCAATATGTCATATAAAGGCATGCGCTAAATTAAAAATATAAATCGCCATATAATTAAGTGTCCATAATAAATCTGTGCAAGTCCAAAACAAACTCAAAATATCATCTGTGAATAATCCACCACCAAATGAATTAGATGGACTCACCAGAACTAAATGCTGATCAAATTATAGACCAGCACTAGCGCTTGTGCTCTGGGAGCGATGGGTAAACAATGTCCAGATTATAGATGTAGTAATATTCGCATATCCAGGTGGTCAATAACAGTAATCGGCATTAATGAACAGCATCTCACTACCAAAAGCAATGCTCTGCAGCCAAAAATCTCATGATGAATCTCTCCATATACCACCGTATCAACGCGTTTCGTCACCACGTCAAGGGGTGGTACCGCCCCTTGATGTGGTGACGAAACGCGCTGGGCGTGACCTACTTGGTGTTGACGTCAGGACGTTCCTTTCCCAGTGTGTGTCGGAGGTGATCCACGGTGAGCGGGGATCGTCCACTATTCAGTGTTGTGCATTGCTGTTTAAGCTGGTGTCTGTTTGGACACACCTTTTGTGAGTGTTTTGGTTATTTTAATAAATATATATGTGTTTTAAATGTGCTGCACCATCATTTCTTTTCCTTTGTACCTGAGTGTGCCTCATACTTACATGGAGATACGGTGGTATATGGAGAGATTCATCATGAGATTTTTGGCTGCAGAGCATTGCTTCTGGTAGTGAGATGCTGTTCATTAATGCTGATTACTGTTCTTGATCACCTGGATATGCGAATATTACTACATCTATAATCTGGACATCGTTTACCCATCGCTCCCAGAGCACAAGCGCTAGTGCTGGTCTATAATTTGATCAGCATCTAGTTCTGGTGAGTCCATCTAATTCATTTGGTGGTGGATTATTCACAGTGTTATGAATTCACAGATGATATTTTGAGTTTGTTTTGGACTTGCACAGATTTATTATGGACACTTAGTTATATGGTGATATATATTTTTATTTAGCGCATGCCTTTATATAATATATTGTTCACTTTGCCAAAATTATTTATATTTTTTGGTTGGGTCTTGCTGCTAGTACACAGTTCATTATTGTTATATAGTGTGGCGCTTTTTTTATTTATTTATTTATTTTTTTTGTTACTTCTGATTGTAGGTTAGTTTTGTCATTACTCTGATATACAGTTTTTTGTTTTTTTTATTTGCAGGCACGAATTAAGAAGATTATGCAAACGGATGAAGAAATAGGCAAAGTTGCTGCTGCTGTTCCTGTCATAATTTGTATCCATTTGATATGCTTGACTTGTGTATTGATAAACATTATGTTTTAGGGCTTGCAGTTTAAAAAAGTATGTAAGAATGAAGATTTAGAAAAAAATTTCCATTATGTTATACAAAAGTTGTACCCTTTTTAATGTATATAATGGTAACAACCTCTGTCATGCTTTTATTACTAAAAAGGAAGAGAGATGTGGAGAGCAGCATCTCCTAATCCATGTAGGTGTCCAATTATACCTGATGTGGGGAAAAAGTTACTTTAGGCGACTCTATGGAGGATGAGGACTGTAGTACCGCTTGTAGTACCGCTTGTATCTCAGATCATAGAAAGAAATGCTACAGTGAGCGCTCCAAACTGTCAGCAGCTGAACATTAAAGGAAAACGCACATAAAATCCCAATATAAATACAGATATATAAAAATGCAGCGCTGTATAGTATTTACAAATGTAGATGACAGTAGTAAACTAAAAATAGAAGATCACACAAGGAATACAGTCCTGTATTGGTGCTCGTTGTTTTTCCAGTGCAAATGATAGAAATGCGCACTAACCAGAAGCGTATAGATAATACGCAGATATATATAATTATCCTGAAGATTCCCCTCTCTTTCTGGTCAGAGTGTAGATTAGGAACTGGAAAATGTAAGGATGAAGCGCCCTCGTGTGGTGAAGATGAGATCCAACAGGCCAGAAGTGTCCTTGCAGAGATGCATGAAACGTTCCCCCTCTCTGGAGCTGGTATAAGGATCACACCGGGGCTGTAAAGGTTGAAAAGCTCCTCACAGGAGGCACAGGGAGAAACTCAGTGTAGTATGTAAACCAATGCTTTATTCATCAAATAGGCGTGGGTAAAAGAATCACAATAGTGCCAGATGCATGTGAATGACTGATCCTTCAAGATCAAAGATGGCCGCCGGGCCTCCACGTGGCGCCGGTGGCGTGATGTCACGACGTCCTGGGCTCCATTTGACGCGTTTCGTGCACACGCACTTCTGAGGTAGAAACGCGTCAGTTGGAGCCCAGGACGTTGTGACATCACGCCGCCGGCGCCACATGGAGGCCCGGTGGCCATCTTTGATCTTGGAAGGGTCAGTCATTCACATGCATTTGGCACTATTGTGATTCTTTTACCCATGCCTATTTGATGAATAAAACATTGGTTTACATACTACACTATGAGTTTCTCCCTGTGTCTCCTGTGAGAAGCTTTTCAACCTTTACAGCCACGGTGTGATCCTTATACCAGCTCCAGAGAGGGGGAACGTTTCATGCATCTCTGCAAGGACACTTCTGGCCTGTTGGATCTCATCTTCACCACACGAGGGCGCTTCATCCTTACATTTTCCAGTTCCTAATCTACACTCTGACTAGAAAAAGAGGGGAATCTTCAGGTTAATTATATATCTGCGTATTATCTATACGCTTCTGGTTAGTGCGCATTTCTATCATTTGCACTGGAAAAACAACGAGCACCAATACAGGACTGTATTCCTTGTGTGATCTTCTATTTTTAGTTTACTACTGTCATCTACATTTGTAAATACTATACAGCGCTGCCTTTTTATATATCTGTGTATCTCAGATCAGTTTAATGTTCAGGGAGGAAAGTGGCATCTAGTTTTTAGGCACTAGAAATTTTTAATATAAATTATTATTATTCAGTAGAAAGCCAACACATTTTCAGGAGTTCTGAATGTTCCCCTTTAATAGGGCTAAAAGATTACATAAAACATACAATTAATAGCTGATATGGTTTACTTTAGGGTTAAAATCTATTTCTAACTTTAAGTGGTTGTAAAGGATGCAGGTTTTTTTTTACTATGCATGAAGGTAAAAAACCTGTAGTGTTCAGCTTCCTCCTCAATCCCCCCCTCTTCCTTATATTCATCCGGGCCCACCATGATCCAGCGCTGTGCACAAGAGTACCAGCAGGGGGGAGGGGCCAAGACTGCTTACAGGGAACCCAAGAGAAGAAGGGACAGGGCTGCTCTGTGCAAACCATTGCACTGAGCAGATAAGTATAACATGTTTGTTTATTTTCTTTTAAAAAAATATGTAAACCTTTACAATCACTTTAAATAGTAAATAGATAATAATTAATGAAAACAGTATATTTTGCAGCTGTCTCAAAAAACATAGTAATTAATACACTTTATTTGGATAACCGTGAATGTAATGACTGTCCTGGGGCCCACAGCTGCCACGTACAGTCCGCCTACTGAGATGAATTTGGAAATGTGACTGAATGCAGTTATGAGCCAGGTGTTGTGTAAAGTACCCACATGTGCTTGGACATATGCTCCAAATGCAGAAAGTGTACATTTGGAAAATACATCAATGCAAGCGATTTACAGAACCCCCCTACCACATAACTACATACAATTGCATCTTCTAATTCATCTCAATGGATGGCTGTACGCATCAGCTGCCAGTCCTGGGAGAGTGAATATGCATACTCTGCACACTGTACAGCCAAGTGCATCAAGACTGAAAGTATAAATCGGTGTTTAAAATATGTGGACATGGCAGATGAAAGATATAGTAAAAGAAAAGAGCAATCGTTGAGAAAAAATTAAAGTAATTGTAAAGCTCAAATTTTTTTGTAGAGAGCATTAAGGTAAAAAATGTCCTGCCTTTGGAACCACTATAATGGGTAAAGGCCAGTACTATATGGGAAGACCTGCTCCAGTCTCTAGTAAACCAGCAAACGTTTCTTTTACAATCTGTCTTTTGCCTTGTCCTCCTCTTACTTTTACTATTTCTTTTTTTTTCTTTTTTATGATTACTTTAGGGACTCTTTAATGACTGGCATAGTATCACTGGATTGGCGTAAAGTCAATGTGGTGCCAATATTTAAAAAAGGGTCAAAATCTTTACCAAGTAATTATATACCTGTTAGTTTAACTTCTATAGCTGGGAAGATACTGGAGAGCTTAATAAAAGACCACACAGATGAGTTCTTGCTGGAAAAAAATATTTTAAGCAACAGACAGCATGGATTCATGAAAGACAGAAGTTGTTAAACAAATCTGATTTCTTTTTATGAGAACGTAGTATATTTGGATTTTGCAAAAGCGTTTGACACAGTTTCCCCACACACGCCTAATGTGTGAGGTAAAGTCTATGGGCTTGGAAAAATCTGTATGTAAGTGGATAGAAAACTGGCTAAAAGATCATATTCAAAGAGTAGTGGTTAATGATTCATACTCTGAATGGTCGAGGGTTGTTAGTGGTGTACCCCAAGGTTCAGTGTTGGGACCCTTACTTTTTAATAAATTAATAAAAGATATAGGATCTGGGATTAAAAATACCATTTCAGTCTTTGCAGATGACACCAAGCTGTGTAGTGGAATAACGTCCTTACAGGATGTCTCCAACTTCCAAGCCGACCTCAATGCACTGTTTAATTGGGCAACTATGTGGCAAATGAGGTTTAATGTTTTATAAATGTAAGGTTATGCACTTGGGGGCTAAGAATATGCATGCATTATACATACTAGGGGGAGTACAACTGGGGGAATCAATGGTGGAGAAGGATCTGGGAGTTCTGGTAGATCACAAGCTTAATAATGGCATTCAATGCCAAGCTGCGATTTCTAAAGCAAGCAAAATCCTCTCTTGCATTAAAAGAAGTATAGACTCCAGAGAGAGAGATCATTTTAAACCTGTACAAATCATTAGTAAGTCCTCATCTGGAATATGTAGTTTAGCTTGGGCACCAATTCACAAAAAGAACATTGGGGAACTGGAGAAAGTACAGAGAAGGGCAACCAAACTGATAAGAGGCATGGAGGAGCTCAGCTATGAGGAAAGATTAGAGGAACTGAATTTATTCTCTCTTGAGAAGAGATTAAGGGGGGATATGATCAACATGTATAAATACATCAGTGGTTCATATAGTGAACTCGGTGTAGAGTTATTCACCCTGAGGTCATCACAGAGGACAAGGGGGCGCTCTTTATGTCTGGAGGATATGAGATTAATTCTCCAAATACGGAAAGGTTTCTTCACAGTGAGAGCTGTGAAAATGTGGAATAAACTCCCTCAAGAGTTGGTTCTGGCCATCTCAGTGGATTGCTTTACAAAAGGCTTGGATTATTTCCTAGATACACAGAATATAACTGGTTACTAACATTTATAGGTAAAGGTTGATCCAGGGAATATCCGATTTGCCTCTTGGGGGATCAGGAAGGAATTTTTTGCCCCTGCAGGAGCAAATTGGATCATGCTTTTCTGGGTTTTCTGCCTTCCTCTGGATCAGCTGTGGGTGTAGGATTATAACTTTTTTTTTTTTTTTTTATTATGGTTGAACTAGATGGACTTTTGTCTTTTTTTTTTTTTAGCCAGACTAACTAACTATGTAACTTTCACAACTACCAGTATAAAGTGTACCCATTCTCCTTTCAGCTCTATCCCTGCTAATTAAAGGATACGTTCACCTTTTGGAACATGTTACATGTTCCACCCATTTTTAGGGTGGAACATGTAACATGTTCCCACTCCTTCAGTTTCTCTCCGATTCCCCCTTCTAATTGTGAAAGCAGGCCAGGGATCTTATCTTTTCCCTGCACCAACTGTCACAATTTGAAAAGAACGGGGCCGTGCGGGGCTCCGCTCACATGGCCAAGTCATTAATTCTCAGAGTTCTGTGTATGAACTACAATTACCAACAGCCTTTGCAGCTGACTGCTTGCAGTTCTTAATGAACTGCCAGGGAGTTGGTGATTCTTCCTGTCATCGAGTAACTGCCTGCCTGTACGAAGTACAAGCAGACAGCTAATGCTGAAAGTCTGCAGGAGCCTGAGACTGCAGATCATGGGTACAAAGCTTCTTCTTTTTTTTTTTTTTTTTTAACCTGCAAAAAATGTGCATTTGTAATTTTTTTTTTTTTTTTTTTTTTTTTTTTTTTTTTTTTTTTTTTTGAAAGGTGAGCCTTTAACCTTACATTTTATCTGCATGCAGTTCTTTGATGCTGCCTACTCCGCTTGCGTCCTTTCGCATGCCTCAGTTCTCAGATTTTACTTTGTATCTACTTTATTTTCACTGACACCATTTGTACATATTGGGGCATTCATTACATACCAATAATGTATCTCTAGTGATGTTTTTTACACTCTTGGCTGTTGCTTTGGCCCTGAACACTGTTAGATCCATGCACACCTTCAAAGTGATGTACGTTTTATGAAGGTTTTATTAATGTTTTTCTCACCTTTGTCTGGTTGGGGAAGAGGGGGGTAGGGAAGTGGGATTGTAATCAGGATTGCCTTCCAGTTTTGCCATGTATATAGGTCCTTCTTTCTGGCTACCAAATAGGGGACGCCCTTATTTGAAAAGGAACAAACAGGGAGCATTGAAATGGAAGAAAGGTTGCATAAGTTTTTTTTGTTTTTTTAATGGTAAAAGAGAACAAAAGCCTGAATCAAACATTTGAATATTAGGTGTTCCTTTTTCTGCCCACTCCTTGCAAAATAGTACATTCTTGAGATATTGCTGTCACATTTGAGGCTCATGAAGAAGCAGAATGAAAATGTAAAATGAGGTAATTTTATTAAATTACTTTCACACAGCTGTTCTTTTATCTTCCACTGCTATGTAAGTGGGTTGCAGTATAGCAGGTATCTTGTCATCATTGTTTTTAAATGATGCTTGTGATAGCTAGAAGTGGTTTGGCACTGCAATTTAGTGATGACAATCTTATTGTATTTTGTATCTTAAAGCCTCCTTTTTTTTTGTTTTTTTTTTATACTGCACAGTGCTCCAGCCAACAACACTTCTCAGGGAATGTCAGACCACTGGAGACCCCTTGTGTGAGAGCAGTATGTATTTTACAATTTAAAATACATACACCTGGGAAAAATAATTTAAATACTATATCCTAAAAAAATTCACACTAGCTTTGTAGTCAGGCATTTTGCAGGCGTTTGAGGGGGTTTTTTAACGTTCCTTAAACGCCTATGAAAGTTATACATATGGCAGCACACAGTGCTGTTCACATTGAAGCGGTCACTTCGCGTTGCGGCAAAATTGACCCCTCATGTCGAGTCAGGAGGAGTTGAAGCATTTCAACCCACCCATTCAAGTCTATGGTGACACTCCTCAAACGCCTGATACAGTTGTGACCAAAATTATTCAACCCCCAATGCTGTAAAGGGGTTTAGGGACTATAGTGTACATTTGGAATTGTATTCAGAATCAAATCCTACAAGGACGTTGTAACTACCCAAATGCAACTAAAATGACATCAATTGTTTATGTAATACAGTAGTAAATGGTTCTTATGTGGTTTCTTCATTGCCACAATTATTCAACCCCTTAAAGACTACCACTCTGAAGAACAGAGGTTCATACAGGTGCTTTCCATCAGGTATTGAAAACACCTGTGGATGTCACCGAGCAGCAATCAAGCATAATAAGCACCAATTAGGCAGCTTTAAAATGACTGTGATACTCAGCTCCTTCTAGACATTTACTGGTGTGGTTACAAACATGGTGAAGGCAAGAGAATGGTCCAGGAAGACAAGAGAAGAGGTGATTTCTCTTCACAGGAAGGGCAATGGCTATAAGAAGATTGCAAAGATGTTAAACATACCAAGAGACACCTTAGGAAGCATCATTCGCAAATTCAAGGCAAAGGGCACTGTTGAAACGCTACCTGGTCGTGGCAGAAAGAAGATGCTGACTTCGACTGCTGTGCGCTACCTGAAGCGTAGAGTGGAGAGAAGTCCCCGTGTGACTGCTGAGGAACTGAGAAAAGATTTGTCAGATGTGGGTACAGAAGTTTCAGCCCAGACAATAAGACGCACACTGCGTAATGAAGGCCTCCGTGCCAGAACTCCCAGGCGTACCCCCTTGCTGTCTCCAAAGAATAAGAAGAGTCGACTGCAGTATGCCAAAAGCCATGTGGACAAACCACAAAAGTTGTGGGATAGTGTTCTGTGGACTGATGAAACAAAATTAGAACTGTTTGGGCCCATGGATCAACGCTATGTTTGGAGGAGGAAGAACAAGGCCTATGATGAAAAGAACACCTTGCCTACTGTGAAGCATGGTGGAGGGTCAATCATGCTTTGGGGCTGTTTTGCTTCTGCAGGTACAGGGAAGCTTCAGCGTGTGCAAGGTACCATGAATTCTCTTCAGTACCAGGAGATATTGGATGGAAACGTGATGCAGTCCGTCACACACCTGAGGCTTGGGAGACGTTGGACCTTTCAACAGGACAATGATCCCAAGCATACCTCCAAGTCCACTAGAGCATGGTTGCAGAGGAAAGGCTGGAACATTTTGGAGTGGCCATCGCAGTCACCAGACTTAAATCCGATTGAGAACCTCTGGTGGGACTTAAAGAAAGCAGTTGCAGTGCGCAAGCCTAAGAATGTGACTGAACTGGAGGCCTTTGCCCATGAAGAATGGGCGAAGATACCCGTAGATCGCTGCAAGACACTTGTGTCAAGCTATGCTTCACGTTTAAAAGCTGTTATAACTGTAAAAGGATGCTGTACTAAGTACTAAGATTGAATGTCACTTGGGGGTTGAATAAAACTGATAATGCTGTGAGCACAGAAAAGACATTTGTGGTTATTTCATTATAACTGTTATGTTATATTTGTCTGACCTACAAGTGCCTCTTTAATGTAAATGTAAGCAAGATGACTGAATGATCAAAAGCAATGTCAAACTGGCCAAAACACTCAATTTCAGTGGGGGTTGAATAATTTTGGTCACAACTGTAGACGTTTGCAAGGTGTTTGTGGTGCATTAATACCATTAACTTCATTATAGGCACTTGTGGTGGAAAACGCCTTGCAAATGCCTCAAAAACACTCGTAGGGCATTTGAGGAGTGTTAAAAAACGCTTTCCAAATGCCTGTCTAATGCCTGTCTATAGGGTGTTTAGGAAGAGTTAGAAATTAGTCAGGTGTGAACGAGCCCTAAAGCTTCAATTGGGCTTTAACTTCTTGCATTGCATAGCTTGTATTTTTTTTCTTTTCATTCATCTCCTGCCTGTCATGTCAAGTGATTCAGGCAGTTATATAGTTGCCCGTTCTCTCACTGTGCTGGTGGAATGGAGCATCGGGACCCCTGCTCTCCTCTGCTGCAAATGAAAAATGGAAGCACTCCATTTTTAGGGCTTTCGGTTTGAGCTATCATTCCTAGGCTGCTACAGTCAGAGAAACAGTTAATCCAGCACAATATGTGCTTGATTAGCTTCAGTAGAGGGCAGGGGATACACTGGGGAAACTAATAGACCCCTGATGTCTTCATAAAGGGACTTGTCCACTGCCCAATGTTATCATGTAGGGGTCTTGCCTCCTTGTGATAGTAGTAAAGTTAAATAAAAAAAAAAAAAAATTAAATCTTAATAACAGTTACTTGCAGGGTGCGCAGGTGTATGAAAACTGTGACTGCACCACACATGTTATTCCACATCAAACGTCTGAGTGAGCGCAATAATTCTAGGGTCATCATTTATGGTGTACACTAAACCTATGAGCTATAAAGGCATTTACTTAATTTATTTATCATTAACTTTTGGGTACTATAATTTTTCACCAATTTTCAGATACACCGTTTTGAGGCTTGACACATTTGGTATCTCTTTCCTCTATACTACCTCTTCGGTTTTTTTTTTGTTATGTACAAAAACGTGGGAATTAAATTGTGTGTGTGCAATAAAATTTACTATAGTGTATTTTTTCCTGAAAAAATAGCATTGATAAACAGTTGTACAAAAACACCATCATGAAAAAAAATTGCAACTACTATCATTTATTCTACAAGCCCCCTTCAGAAAATATATAATGTCACAGGGGGTTTTAAAGCAGAACGTTACTGTCTCAATCAACATTGACTATTTTTAATCCTTATGCTGCTAGCATTAGTAAATGGGAAAGTATTTCATATTTACTTGTTTTAAACTTTTTTTTTTTTGTACATTTCTTTAGTTACTTTCTGGTTTTCAGGCCTAGGGAAATGATGTCATACATCCCATAAGTTTTCAGGTGGGGAGGAGGGGTTTTCTCAGCTAAGCATGCCCTTCTGCATGCATACCTGAGCTAAGGGTAGATGGATTCCAAGAAACAACTGCTACATGAACCACCTGCGCTTGCACAAATGGTCTCAGGCAGAATTGCTAGGGGACGTTTTTCAAAGCAATTTCTCAGTAGAATAAGGCATGGATGGGATAGGTGGACGAGCGAGTTTGCTTTGAATAGTAAAAATGAATTAAATAGCATTTGTGGCTTGTGGTGGTTGGACATAGTGTTTTTTCCGCTTTAAAATCTGAAACATGGCTTTAAAGAGGGGAGCTGGTTACAGTAGACCTTTTCATGTGCATTCAGCAAGCTTGCCCTTGCAAGTTAATTATATCTTGAAAGAAGGTTCACTGTTTAAATGGTATATTTACTCCTTGACAGAGTCCTAGCTCGTGCACTAGAGTTGTTCCTGGAGTCACTCCTAAAGAAGGCCTGTCAGGTTACACAGTCTCGAAGTGCCAAGACCATGACTACATCACACCTGTAAGTTTTTTGTGTGTGTGTGTGTGTGTGTGTGTTAAGGAGGTTATGTAGATTCTGTGCATTCCAGGCAACTGTCCTCGTATTTTTAAAGTAAACCTGTTATGAGAGAAACATTGGGACAGCCATTGCTGAACTTTCTGAAAATGACTCTTATTTCAGACAGTATTAAACCCAAAAGCAAACACATTGTATTGCAGCTTACCAAATCTTAGATGGGGTGTCTGCATTTTTTTTTTTTTTTTTGTTTTGTTTTTTTTTTAGTCTTTTATTTTCTCCTGGTGATCTGGCCAGTAAGTCTGTTGTTTTTCCAAAGATCAAGCTGCCTTGCAGATGTATCAGTTCACAGGAATGGGACAAACCTTTTATCAATGACAGGGGTGCAAATGATCAGCTTTCTCTTTTATTTATGTAAAACCTTTATCCCAAAAGGGGGTTTAAAAAACAGCTGTAACTGCTTCTAAAGTGTTAGCAGGAGTTTGGCTTCTAAATCTGCTAGTCCATCTAACACTCCTCTCCTGCCAAACTGACAATGCTGTCTATTCCATCATCCAGAGTGAGGATACTCCAATACAGGTGCTGTGTTACTGCCAGGGGAAAACAGTTGGGGGGTGGGAAAAGCCTAAAAAAGAAAACTAATGGAGACTTCACATTTAATGATTAGTAAGCTGTAATATACACTATATTGCCAAAAGTATTGGGGCACCTCTCCAAATCATTGGATTCAGGTGTTCCAATCACCTCCATGGCCACAGGTGTATAAAATCAAGCACCTAGGCATGCAGACTGCTTCTACAAACATTTGTGAAAGAATGGGTCGCTCGCAGGAGCTCAGTGAATTCAAGTGTGGTACTGTGATAGGTTGCCACCTGTGCAATAAGTTCATCCGTGAAATTTCCTTGCTACTAAATATTCCATGGTAAACTGTTAGTGATATAACAAAGTGGAAGCAACTGGGAACAACAGCAACTCCGCCACAAAGTGGTAGGCCACGTAAAATGACAGAGCGGGGTTAGCACATGCTAAAGTGCACAGTGCTCAGAAGTCGCCAACTGTCTGCAGAGTCAATAGCTAAAGACCTCCAAACTTTGTGTGGTCTTCAGATTAACACAACCGTGAGTAGAGAGCTTCATGGAATGGGTTTCCATGGCCGAGCTTCTGCATCCAAGCCTTACAGCACCAAGTGCAATGCAAAGTGTCAGATGCAGTGGTGTAAAGAACGCCGCCACTGGACTCTAGAGCAGTGGAGACGTGTTGTCTGGAGTGATGAGGATGTTGCCAGGAGAACGGTACTTGCCTGACTGCATTGTGCCAAGTGTAAAGTTTGCTGGAGGGGGGACTATGGTGTGGGGTTGTCTTTCAGGGATTGGGCTTGGCCCCTTAGTTACAGTGAAGGGAACTCTTAAGGTGTCAGCATACCAAGACATTTTAGACAATTTTATGCTTCCAACTTTGTGGGAACAGTTTGGGGATGGCCCCTTCCTGTGCCAACATGACTGCGCACCAGTGCACAAAGCAAGATCCATAAAGACTTGAATGAGCGAGTTTGGGGTGGAGGAACTTGACTGACCTGCACAGAGTCCTGATCTTAACCCAACAGAAACACCTTTGAGATGAATTAGAGTGGAGACTGCGATCCAGGCCTTCTCGTCGGACATCAGTGCCTGACCTCACAAATGTGCTTCTGGAAGAATGGTCAAACATTCCCATAGACACTCCTAAACCATTTGGACAGCCTTCCCAGAAGAGTTGAAGCTGGTATAGCTGCAAAGTGTGGGTCAACTCAATATTGAACCCTACAGACTAAGACTGGGATACCATTAAAGTTTATGTGCGTGTAAAGGCAGGTGTCCCAGTACTTTTGGCAATATAGTGTATTTTATTTTTGTTATGGGTTTATTAGCGCTTTTAATACTTTTGAGCCTCTGACCCGCTTCATGTATGCAGATAAGAATTACTGAATTGTCTCCATTTTTCTTGTTTGCTTGTTGTGGGTTAGTGGCTCCGAAAGTCCAAAGCCAGTATCTCAGCAGGGGGGGTAGCAGAAGGGGGTCAGTGGTGACAATCTCTGTATTTGCTATATCGAAGGTTTACTCTAACACCCTCCGTTTGACAATCAGCTGTCCAAATAATGCTTGATGCTTTTGTTAAATGTGTATTTATGCAGATGGTGAAATTTACTGAAACATGTTAATTTTCTCCTAAAGTATAACCCGTAAAGTGATCATATGCTGCTTTGGCAAAATACATATACAGCTTCTGCCAAATTTCAGAATTTTCTGCCTTTGAAATAAGATTGTTGATGTAATTTTTTAGATTGACATGATCTGTCACTGATTTTATATACAAGTTTCCATTTTTAATACAAGACTCAGGAGATACTTGGAGATAAACAATGGATTTATTATTTTGCCTGTGACATCTGCTTGTTTAGTCTATATATTATACAGTATTTTTTTGCAGCTAAAATTCCCTACCGTTTGATATAATCAATTATGCTATAATTAATCGGCTTGTTTTTAAAATTGACATATAAACTGTCTGTTTAGGATGTGAAGATGGGCCAATTGTAAACCAAAACGTTAATTGAGATTTATTTTGCCTATAATGGGCATGTGTGAGGGCTTTCCAACTCCTGTTCTCCGATATTAAGTTCTATCTGTAGCCAAAACTTTATTTTAGTTTGGGATAGAGTGGGGAAGGATTAGATCTCCTTTCATGATTTATTGCAGTCACAGGCTCTGTTGGAGAGTTTCCTTTGCTTCCTGTCTTGTCAAAAAGGTTGTCCCCCCAAGACAGGAAGTGAGGGGAAATCTCTCTAATGGCAATACAAGCAGAAGAAAAATAGCGAAACTAAAGGCAGCTTTTATACTCATATTTCATCTTTCCTCCAACGGTCCCGTCTCTCTCCAGCACCAGCATCTTCTCCTGTGTGCTGGTGTCATTGGCTGGTGTGGAATGACTTTTTTTCTTGCACATGAGCAGGAGGATGTTACCAGCATGTCTTTGGGTTGTGGGAGGAAACCAACGCAGGCACAGGGAGAACATGCAAACCTAGGCAGGTGGTGCTGTGGTTGGGGTTCAAACCAACGACCCTAGTGCTGCCAGGCAGAAGTGCTAACCATTTAGCCACTGTGCTGCCCTGTAGTAAAATCTGACAGGGGTTCTAACTTTTCCCATTCTATGCACAACTAACTTGGGTATAGACGCACTTTCAAGTGGGAAAATCTAATCATAAGATAATCGCTAAGAAATCTGAAGTTCAGCAAGGGTGGTGAGTAGATTGTTTTGTTTACATTTTGGCCATGTACTGGAAAACCGATAAAGATCAAATTGGCCAACTTTAAGTCGAAATTGGGTTGGACAGCTCAGTTGTTACAGCATCCATGGAAGTTTTCTAAATAATGCAAATGGTTTTCATGAGATCTATCAACTGTAATGGCAATGGCATAAAAAAACAAAATCTTTAATTTGAGATAATTGGGCATGCTGATCACACTAAAGGAGTTTGGCGAATGCTCTAATTGGCTGTGCTTTTCCTGTGGGTCACAGGAGTGCACCTAGTTCTGCACTCCTGTGACCCAGTTTCAGCCAACAGCTGGCTAAAGTCTGCTGTTGACTGACGTCACCAAGCCAGGTTGTGCAGGGATCCAAATAGGGATCTGCCCAGATGTCTGACTGGCAGCTGGTTCGGCCTTTTATCTGCTCCCCCTTCCACAACCCAATGCTCCAGAGAGTGCTGGAGGGGTAGAGCACAGAGCGGTGACTGACAGTCACCGCTCTGTGCTCAGAGCGAACCCAAGAACTGAGCAGTCAGCAGTGTTTGATGGCTCAGTTCTTGGTGTAGAGCAGGCAGGGGACAGTTGCAGCATCACATTGATGTTGCACCCACCTAAGTGACTATGTATGTTACTTTTGTTAAATCCTGCACTTTTAAATTGTTACATCTTTGGTCCATATTGTTTGTAGCTTTCTTAGGCTAGGTTAGCACATATGTGGTTGGTGCGGCACAGCAGCCTATTCATTTCAATGGGCTGCTGTACCTGTTGGAAACACTGATAAACAGTCCCTGTGCCTTTTTATAGGTGCCACCGCCGCATGTAAATCACATGACGCTTTTGAAACAAGCAACTTACCACACCCAAAAATGTGCTGCATTTCCAGATGCAAGGGGTGTGCCATTAAGAATTAATGGTACCCCTGAGCATCTGGTAAAAAGCAGTATGTTTTACCTGCGTGTGTGAGGATGCTAGTGATTTACACCTATATGTGAACCTAGCGTTGCCACAGACATACAGAGATATTTAGTATAAACCCAAGTGCATCACTAATTACTGCAAGGAGTGTCATAGTTGGGATTGGCACCTGTAGCTCATCATCGGTTGTGCTTACAGCACAGTTTTTTCTTCAGATGTACAAGGCTGATAAACATGGCTACCATACTTGTCAATGTTATTCCTTTCTTTTCTTGGAAAAATTGTACAGTATGCAACCATTCTTTCCAAAAGTTGAGGCAAATGTGGGGCCCCTGGAGTATACAGCTTGGCTGCCACTGACATACATCATTCTACTCTTTTCTGCCTTTCACAGGAAACAATGTATAGAGCTTGAACAGCAGTTTGATTTCTTAAAGGATCTTGTTGCAACTGTCCCAGATATGCAGGGTGAGACAGAAGACAATCACACAGAAGGGGAGAGGGTATCACGGAGGTAGGATGTTCACACCTTCATTTCTTATCTTTACGGTGTAATTGGGCATTATTTTTGAGCCTTCCCTGTGATTTATAAGCATACTTTGAGCATCACAAAAAAAATAATTTATTTTATGTTCTCCAAGGGGCCGCAAACCTGGAAGCAGCCGAAAGAATGGAGGTACAACTATGAAGGGAAAGGACAAAAAGCAATCTGAAACAGATTCAGAACAAGAGGTAAATTGTTTTTGTTTTTTTTTTTGTTTTTGTTTTTTTTCTTTTAGTACCAGTTGCTAGCGATCTCCTATTCACTATTGTATCCCGAGTCATTTTTGATATGTTATATTGTATGTTATCAGGACGATTCTGAAGGCACAGATACAGAAGGTGAAGAAGAAATGTGTATGACTCCAACTGCAAATATGCAATCACATGCGACATTTCAAAGGTAAATCCCTGTGCCTTTCTCAGACTAGATCTTTTTAAAGACAATTTAGCTGCCATGTGGGAACCATGTAGTTGTTTAAATAAGTGTGTGTGTCTCATTCCATTTACAGCATATTCTTGTGTGTATATTGATTCTGCCAAAAGAAGAGAGATTTTCTTGTGCTTGTATCAGTGTTCCTTTTTTTTTTTTTTTTTTTTTTTTATCTTTACAAAGGCCTGACTGCAGTATGTGGCTAAAGCTGGTAATACTTTTTTTTAGATCTTTGAACAAACGTTCATATGAATATTCATAAGAAAATCCTCAGAACATTTGACTGTCTTTCAAAAGTCTTACAAAAAAAATTTTGCTTGATTTTGGAGTGAATGGACTTCAGAACAAAATCACATACCCCAAACAAAAATCACATACACTGTTAAATTTTTCTCAAACAAATTTCTTCATCCTTCTCCATCGAATTCCCTCATCATTGTGGTTGAACATGAACACCAATTTGACACCACTAACACTTAGAAAATCAAACAAACATCCTTAAAACAAAAATGTTAGAACAAAATTCTGCTAGTGTATGCCCACCCTTTTTTTTCCCAATTAAAACAGGATTTAGCTTAGCCATTAGAGTATTAAAGTTAAATTATTTTCAGAAGGAAGCCTGTACGTAGCAGGACTTTCTGAAACAAAGGTTTTATAAAGCACATTCTGTTGCTTGCTGATAGGATCTTTTAAAGCTGAACTCTGGGCCCAAGAATTTTGACTTAAAAATATTCCACAATATCTACAGATTATAAAAATCCAGTTTATGTGCATCAAACACTTTTGCAAACTCGGATATTACCTTTTAAAAGTATAGCCTGTGCAGACAGCAGAGCTGTGGGAGGGCACTCCATTGCAGCTGCTTTACAGCGCACTGCAACGGATGACAAAGTACTTTCTTGCAATGCTCTGCACTGCCAAAAATGGTGCATGTGTGATTTTTTTGGTCCCTTTTGTTGTGTTAGGCACCCTATTCAAATGAATGAGTTAGTCACGGATCCAAACTACTGTACACCTTCTGATCACTGTGATTGATCATAGAAAAGAACAGTCACAACAATCTCAAATGTGCACAATCTTTCTTTTGCCAACTCCTTGTATTTTACATATTGTTCTTTACTCTTAGACCTGTATATCATTACTTTCCCACCATACATATAAAGTGTATCCATTGTTTTCTTAGCTCTATCCCTTCTATTTAACTTTACAGAATTTCATCTGTATGCAGTATCACTTCTTCATATGTATCTGCTTCACTCTGATGCTCTGTACTCACCCTGCATCATTTCCCCTGCATCTCCTATTTTCCTATTTTTATTTTTGTATCCACTTTATTCTCGCTGTTCATGTTTATCCACTACAACTATGTCACTTCCTTTTTTTTTTTTTTTTTTTTTTTTTTTTTAATTATTCCTGGGCCCTATACAACTGGTTTGGTGCTTGTTTTCCTGCACATTAAAGCTCTCCAGGCAAAAACAATATTGGGGCCTTAGTTTAGGTACCAGTAATGTACCTCTAATGAGATCATTAAGCCATAGCTCTGAGGAAGAAGATTAGGTCACTGAAACGCGTCAGTAGGCATTGTCCTCCTGTCTCCAGTTGGAGGTAGAGAGAGGACTCTTACATTGTGTGCTTTATGCATTTACATGCCGTTAGCTCATATGGGTGAGTATAATATTTGTCTTCTTAATCCTTTCAATAAAGTGTCAAAGATAATGCACTAGGCTTTTGCCCTCTCTGTTTGTGTTTTCTCTAATGATGTCTGTTCCACTATTGGCTATTGCTTCCTTCCTGAAAAGAAAATGAATATAAGGCATTCTTTGATTGGACAAGGGGCATATCTAATTTCCCCTTATCTAATCACAGAACATATTTTATTCTTAAAAAAGAAGAAAAAAAAAGACATCACTCCAAAAATAGTTCTCATCCAGCTATTGTTTCCATTAATGCCTGTGAACTGAGCTGTTCTCGGTTGTCTCCATTCACTGGCACCATGTACAGAGCTGATCTAAAGGACTTTGCACCTTCTGATCACTATGATTAGTCATAGAAGAGACCAGTCACAGCAATCTCAGATGTAAACAGGCTTGTGACTCAATTTGAGAGCCCTCCCCTCCTTTTATAACAGAGATGAGAGGAAACAGGAGCTATTGAATGAATTAATCATGTATTCGTTCCTGTGATTGCAGCAGCAATATGGATCTTTTAACCCTTTCACATACACCCTTAACCCCTTCTCTCCTATGCATCTAAACTCCAGCTTGTCTCCCTGTGACCTGTATATTAACCATTCACCTCCTTTATGCACATGTGCATATTATTCTCTTCATCTCCATTCTCCCACTGTATTAGAGCAGTACATTACCCATTCACCTGCATCCTCTTTGTAAATACTTATATACCCAGTGAAGTGACTGACTTCAGGTGATACAAAGAGATGAAGCAGTATCATAAGTTGTGTCCGAATGGATGTACAGGAAAGATGGTTGCACATAAACAAAGTCCAGATTGTAAACAGGATCTCTCAGCTCTGAAAAGCAGGGGGTAGGGAGTTAACGTTACGCAGTGCAGAGCTCAGTGAGAGCTGATTGGAGGGAAGGGACACACTCTCCTGCACACTGGAACAAAGCTGAATCTGTCACTTACAGGCTGTGTACTGGAGCTCCCTCCTCTGTCACTTTTCTTCTTTTTTTTTTTTTTTTCTTGCTGCTTTTTCAGCAGTGACTTGGTGCTCTGGACTAAGACAAGTACACACTATAGAGGAATTTGCTTTGTTCATATTTCACGTTAGATGTTTACAACAACTTTAATGTTAAACTCTGATGTATATATGCTTCTAAAATTTTGGTTTTTAATGTTTTTCTTTTTTTACTTCTGTTATATACAGATTTGTATATATTTTGTTTTTTTTTTACCAGAAAGCTGTCATATTGATCACTGCAAATGTTTTTTTCTCTCTGTTTTAGTCCCCCCCCGGCTCCATCGTTCCTACAGTTTCATTCTGTTCCAGTCATGCCCCCAGCAGCTTCTGCTTTGCCCGCTATGCCAGCTCCATTGCTGTCCACTGGCTGTGAGGAGGAGGAGGATTATGACTCGTAGCCTCTGGTCATTTAAATTCCGTTTTCATTTATTTTGCTTCTTTTGGTTTTGTTTTATTTTGGTTTTTAAACTAGGCCCAAGGGCCTTGGGATTTGGGGGAGGGGGGTGATAATAGAAAATGTGTTCTTAAATTTATTAAAAAAGGCGGTGGAGGAAAATGTGTGATGTTTTTTATTCATGCAGACCTCAAATCTAGCTGTAATTTTTTTTTTTTTTCTGTTGCCCTTATGTCATAATCCACAATGCATTTTAATGTTGGGTGTTACTGTTTATCCTTGCTGTGGTAGTACCATGATGTTGGATTTTAGGGGTACTTATACCCTAACTAATCCAGAGGCCTCTCTCTATTTACATTTCTTTTAACTACAGGGCTCAGTTTTATTACACTGTTATGCACCATGAAAGCCTAACTCCAGGTTTGATTGAACTTTAAATAGTTTGTTTGGACCAAACCAGCTATTTGCTTCACAGGTATGCTTGCTGTTAGCGCTGTATAAACTGTATGTACCATCAGCTACTGTACATGTAGTATACAGCGCTGTGTTCCGGCAATAGGACAAAGACTTTCCATCCCATTTCTTGAACAAAATTGGCGCTGGCTAAGCCATTCAGGACAGCTTTGTATTTTCTGAGTGAATACAGGGCTTCTTCTGATTTGCTAAGACGGAGAGCATGGTCTCATCCTCCCACCCCTCCCCCTCAACCAAATACAAAGCTGTTAGTGAAGCTAATAGCAGTTGGAGCAAGTTGGTCCAGACAATCTTGAAGTTCAAGCAAACCTGGAGTTAGGCTTTAAAGGTTGTGACGCAATATATGAAGTCCAGTAGTTGACAAGGAGCGACAATGAAACTTTAACCAGTTCGGCTCTAGAGCAAGTTTTTGCATTTTTTTTTTTTTGCACATGTGTAAAAATCTTCATTTTTGGCAATAAAACTACTTGAACCCCAAAACATATTGGGGTTGGTTTGCTAAAGGCAGATATACTGTTTGAGGCAAGTGCACTTGCTCTAGAGCTTAGTAAATGAGGTAAAGCTTCACTTTGCAAAGAATACCCAAACACATGCACGGAAAATAAATAAAAAAAAAAAAAAAAACAGCAATTTTGCTTGCACATGATTGGATGATAGAAATCAGCAGAGCTTCCCCTCATTTCAGAGCTTCCCCTCAAATCTAGAGCAACTGCACTTGCAGTGCACAGTATATTTGCCTTTAGTAAATGAACCCCTATATATTTTCTGAAAGCCGAGGCCCTGTAGAATAAAAAGATGATAGTTGTACATTTTTATGTCACATGATATTTGTGCAATTGTTTATTAAATGCAGATTTTCAGGAAAAAATATAATAAAATGAATTTTAATGCAAGCACACACAATAAACTACCCATTTTCTGTAAAATTTAAAAGATAAGGTTGCACTGAGTAAATACCAAACATGCGCTCTTGATATTGCAGAAAAAACTATGGTGCCTAAAAATCTCCATGACTGACACTTTAAAAGCTTTTACAGCTTATCAGTTTAGAGTTAAACAGGAGCTCTTGTGATAGAATTATTGTTCTCACTCTGATGTTGGTGGTAATGTGTCACATGTGGTGCGACTGCGGTTTACATATACGTGCTCATCCTGGGCATGTGTGCGAGGTAACGTGGGTTACGGCAATCTTATTTTTTTTTTTTTTTTTTATCTAGTCATCCTATGTGATAGCATTGGGCAAGTGACAGGTACTCTTTTTGGAGGCATTAGGGGGTCTAATAGACCCCAATGTCTCCCCAGCCCTTAAAAACATCTAACCAAGCACCGATCTGCTTGGTTAGAAGTGTCCTCTGGCTGTACTGGCCAGGAAATAGTGGATCTGAAACCAAAAGTGATTAAATCATCATCTCTTCTGGTTTCATTGTTTTACAGGTGAGGCAGGGATGTGTCTCACTTTCAGATGTGTCTCCCAACAGAAGCTGGCGGTTGCGGTCCAGGGCTCCCAGTAAGTGCGGTAGAGCTCAGAAACTATGGGGGGGCGTGCCGCCCACTGTGTGAAAGTGATTGGCAGCTAGGGAGTTGTCGCATCCCTTTCACTTTCAGGCCCACAGCTTGCTGAACAAATGAAGCACAAGCTTATGGTTGTTACTGCAACCATCAGCTAGTGTTTAACAGTTCTCTGATTGGATGTACCACGTATGCCCAAAGAGTTGAACTGGTTAAAGTAGTATTAATGTCAGTTTTTTCCTAAATCAGATAAAAATAACAGTTCACATGTGGTTGAATTTTTATTTTTAAATTTCCTCTTTGAAGCTTCCCTTTTTAATTGTTCCCTGGGTGGAGTCCTGGATGAACTTCCACAACATGCAGGCTTCCTCTCTGTACAACTCTAGGTGTAGCTGTTCAGAGCACCGCACACACAACCAGCATGAAAGCTATGCCTCTCCTCGACAGCGGTGATTGACAGCTGCTGTGTCCCTCTCTGACTGGCTGTGTGTGCCTGAAACAGTCAATTCAAGTGAATAGGGCCATGCTGCAACTGAACATGGTTGCAGAATGGCAATACGGGATTCGAGGTTAAAACAGGTGGAGAGAAGACAATGGAGGGGAATTCAATAATGCTTCTGTGACAGTTCTGTGTATTGCACGAAATTCATTAAGCATTTGTGACCCTTTTGACAGAGACTCATGCACCAAATTCAGGTAGCTCTAAAATGCGCCACTTTTACATTGTGTCGCATTGAATGCAGTACATTCAAAAGTGGAGCTATTTAAGACCAACTCTCTTTTGCTGTGCAGAGAGAAAAACTGGCTCAGACCGATTTTGCGAGTATCTCATGTATTCTAAAAGTGGCTCAGCGTGAGCTGAATTCAAGTACATGAATTTTGGCACATTCTTCACTTTCAGAATCATGAGAGACAATTTCGCAATATCTGTCTGCGCCAGGGAATGTGTCAAACTCCCTCTGAAAAGAGATCCACCGCATGTCGCTCTTCAGAGGTTAACTCTTATGTGAGAGAGCCCCAGGACATTTTTTTTGTTTTTGATACATGTAGCCGAAAGTTCAGTTGGGCTTTGAGTTTAAGATGGTCCCAGATTTTTATAGGCTTTTAGGAACAACAGAGTTTTCAGATTCTGGTGATGTTAGAGAGAGAAAATATTTTGGTTCTTGATAAAGCTAAGATTTGACCGTTTCGTGATTGCTGTTCGAAGAAATGTTAGAATATCTTCCAGCCAGGCATTAAAAAGTGAAAAGTTTTTTTCCTCCTTTTTGTTTTAAAAGGCCTAAAAAGTCCTATAAGACGAAGTATTGGTAAATGGTTGGGGGAGCCTTTAAAGGACAGCGGTACTTTTGTACAGTTGTCCTTTTAATAAATCCCTCTACCTCCCTGTATTTTTCTCAAAAATTGCTGCTATGTACTGAAAATGTATGTTGTATGAGGATTCATTCATATGGTAAAGCATATTCATGGCAGCTTCCATCAGTCCTTTAAGATACAATAGGAATCAATTAGGACATTTTTGGTTTTGCAGTCTGTGCCCTATTACGGAGACTTCCTCTTACTCCCTGTCCCAGAAACACATTGGAAACCAGTGACATCTTTTCCCAGTGTGGGAAAACTTTCTTCTCTCCCCATTGTAATATTTCCTCACTCCTTTTCTGAGGACAGATTTTCATCTCCTATGACTTTGTCCTTTTGACAATTGTCCCCGGGAAAATAGAGAGGATGAATCTCCCTAACAGGGGACTACAGATAGCAATAACATCTGAGTTGTTTCAATGCTTTCCCATCCTATGCAAAAAGAATAATGGTCTTAGATATAATTTAATGATGGCCTCTTTGGTTGTGGATACCTATGGTTTCCTTTAAAGTGTTACTAAACCCAGGACCCTGCGCTCACTATATCTGGTCTTCCACAGTACACACTGCTTGGAAATGCTATTATTTTTAGTAAAATATAAACTGCTAAATACCTTTTCTCATCAGCAGTTAGAGCAGTCTTGTGACTTCTATCAGTGTTCAGCAGAGCACTGGTTAAAGCTTGTAGGAGGATGCAGAACCTCTGTCTGGACAGTGCTGATTGGCCCTGTGCTAATCACATGCACTCTCCCAAGAAAAAAGAAAAAAACCTCTAGCAATACACACCAAACTGAGCAGGTGCAGCGTGTCTCCACACGATATGTCTTATCAGGAGATAAGAGGGGAACACTGGAAGAAGGGGAGAATCACAGAAGTCAGGATCAATCAGCAGTTTTTATACAATGCAGAGGATTAACCCCTTCGGCTCCACAGTGAGTATATCAAGCGTGCTTTACTGCATATACAGACTGATTTTTCTGTTGTGGGTTTAGTAACACTTTACCTAGAAGGATTTCCTTGCAGGGAAGAGGTACAGGGGAAACCAGATATAGTTTCTCAAACAGAAGGAATATTAGCTATAAAACAATAAACATAAGTTAGGTGGAAAGACTAGGCAAGGCTTCTTGGCTTCCACATACCATAGGTGAGGGTAAGTTTTAAATGGATAAGCATTGTCCCTGGAAGGCCATAAGATCTATGGGCAGACATGGAAGAAAGATATTTTTCATCCAACGACCTTAATTTTTAACAAGGAAAGGCTAAAGCCCTGACCACCTTTTGAGTTCTTTGAGCTAGATGTTCTTCCAAATAGTTTAGAATGTGGGTACCTTCTGTCATCAGTACTGTACTGTGGGTTCCTCTTTTATTTGCTGTGTGGGATGCTACCCAATTCTTCTCCATTAAGACTTTTAATGAACTTTCTAAAGAACAGTATATAAAGACTTCAGGCCTTGGGCTACGTTCACACTAGCATTGTGTGCAGGTGGCAGAGAGGAGTTTGGGAAATGTTTTTACCGCTTCCCAAACGCCTCGGACAATTCTGCACATTGCAGCACATAGTGCTGTTCTAACGGGAGCGTTAGCGTCGCGTTGCGGCAAACTGACGCCTCTGGTCGAGTCAGGAGGTTTGAAGCCTCCTATTCTAGTCTATGGTGCCGCTCCGCA